TGTACTAGTTTACATTCCACCAACAGTGTAAGAGGGTTCCTTTTTCCCCGCATCCTCGCCAACACCTGTTGTTGGTGGTGTTGCTAATGATGGCTATTCTAACAGGGGTGAGGTGGAATCTTAGTGTGGTTTTAATTTGCATTTCCTTTATTGCTAGAGATGGTGAGCATATTTTCATGTCAGTGGTGGCTTTTATTAGATTTATTTTGTCAGATAAGCAGATGGGCCCATTGACCAAGGAGATTTGAGAAAAGTAACCACAATCAAGGACTCTGTGATAATTCATGCTTCTTCAGGTGCTTCTGCCTGGGGGGAGAATGAAGTCACTACTCAATAAGTACACGGACACAGGGCCTTGGCTGATGTCAGATGGTTGCCTCACAGGCAGTCTAGCTTGTGTCCAGCACCACTGTCTGTTCTTGGTAAGATCTCACCTGACAGGCTGTGGTACCTCTGTGGGAATTGCCACCATATCTGTCTGCTGTTCAGAAGCTCTCATGGTGCCCAAACCATGTGGTGGTCATTGGTCAATTGGGAATACTAGCTCCTCTTTGAAATTCTCCTGCAAGGGGCAATAAACCGATGACTTGTCACTCCATTGTCCTTTGTAAGTTTTGGTGGAACACCTCCTTCAGGTTTTTTACTTGCAGCCCTTGATCTCCCAAGGATGGGGAGAGAAATAGAGGGTTTAGGAGGTAGGAAAGTTTCTGAATCAAAAGCCAATTTCTCCTCCTTTCAAGGAGGGGAATAAGAAAGAGTAACAGGGGGTAAATTTGATCAAAGTATATTATATGCATGTATGGAAATATCACAATGAAACCCTTTTGTATAATTAATATACACTAATAAAAAATCTCTGCTTCCTTCTTTTAACAATTTTCAAATTAAACTGTACTTCTTGGGTTAACCATAATTTTACTTATGATGCGTGCTTCTCCAGGAGGGTCCCCAGTCCTTCAAGCCAATCTACCCATGTCAGGTACATCCCACAAGTTCATGGAACATGTCAGAATGTGACAGAATCCCAGCAGTGACCATAGCTGCTCCACACTCCCACTCCACTAACTAATTGCTTTTATTTTATTTTTTGCAACAGAAATAGAACTCTGTAGAACACCCAAAAAAAAAAATCCTAAACAAGAACTACCTTTCTGTAATCTTTTAAAAAAATAAATGCAATCTGGAGCAAGATTATATAGCTTTCACCCTAATTTCAAATGGCTTGGAACCTTTCAAGTTGAACTCTTGCTAAACTTAACTCAGGTGCAACCAGACCAAAGTTAAAAATCCACTCTGAATGTATTTTTCCTCCAGGAAGAATGCCTCAAGGCTCTCTGGAGAAGACTGCAGGGCAGCCTTTACCACAGGAAGGCATCACTGTCTCTCCCTGCCCTCCTCATCTGTTCACAAACACGGTGTACTGGACCTGGTTGTGTTTGGTCCCAACTGATTTTAAACCTTTATGTTTAAAGTGAAGACATAACTTTGGAGTAATATGTATTTAAACATTTAAATTTAAGGGAAAAATATAAATCCCCAGCTCCAGCCCTTCTGTGCCTTCTTGGTGTGATCCTCACTAAAACAGTGCCTTGCTATGTAAAACAAAGGAAGTACTCGTGGTCCTTGCTTTGTGGTCTGGGCCCATCTGAGGTGGCTGCTTATGGTGTGGGTTTCCTCGCCCAGATTGCCTTCTTTCTCCCCCTCCCACTGCCCACACAGCTTCCTTTATTGAGGAACTCTGTAAGTCTTCCCAGGGGCTTACAAAGTTGAGCAACAAGAGACCTTCAGGCTGTTCATCTCCTCAAAACAAATCCATTGGTTATGCGTGCTCTGTCTCCTGCAGTGAGCATGTTCAGGCTGAAGAGAGAGGAGGGGATTGATTCGCAGAAACTTCCTTGCTTGCAGTGAAAGTTTGAAGAGGATGTTTTGAGTGGCTGCTGGAATGATGGGAGGCGAGGTGGTTATTTTGCAGAGTATGGCTTGATTGAAATTTCCAAAAGGCAGGAGTGGCAGAGATATCAACATGTGGTCTAGGAGGAGCGGGGGGAACTGGGTTTAATGTATGTCTGTGACTCTTCCAACACTTTGTTTCCTGTTGTCTAATTTTAGGCCCTTTCCAGTGACCTTTTAGATGCTTTAACTTTCAGAGACTGAAAAGAGTAGATGTTTGAACAGTGAAATTCTGCAGCTTTCATGGGTCATGAATCCGGGTCTTGGGTCTTTGCAGTATACATTCTTAGCTCAGCCCTATTTCTTTTCATTCCCCTCCTCACCCAATGTTGTCCACATGAGTCTAGGCTCCTGCTTTAAATCCTCCATTGGCTGTCCCTTCTCCACAGGAATAAGGTCAAACCCATGCAGACTTTCCAAGACCTGGCCCCTGACTTCTTGCCTGGATTCTCCCCTCTTGATCCCACTTCATACTCTCTGTTCTAGCCATACTGAAAGCAGTTTGGCCTCTTTCAGTGGGCAGAGCTTTCTTTTGCATTCAGGTCTCTCTGCCCATGCAGTTTCTCTGCCTGAAACACTTTCTGAAACTTTTCTTTGGCCTTCCCTTAGCTCTGTTGTTCATGGTCTTCATTCTGGCATCACTCCTCTGGACAACTGTTTCCATCACATTCTCCCATCCTCCCATCTCATCCTCCATGGCACTCCCATGGCATCTTGCTTGCATGCTCAGAGGCTTTTATGACACGATATTTAATTGTCTAGTGCCTTGTCTTTCCCCTCCTCTATACTGTAATGTAGATAGCAGGAAGACTTCCTGTTTGTTCTTGAATTCTCACTGTGTATGGCACTTGGGTTCACACTCAATAAATCTTTTTGGATGACAAGTTGCCAATCTGTACTTTGCAGCCCATATGCACAAAGAATAGAAAGGTTTGGGTGTGGGTATCCATTGTTGCCCACTTGAGATGTGGCTAAGCCATGCTTACATACTTTATCACCTGCTACCAGTGTTAAGCAAATCCTGCAGGAATCACACAAAATTATGGGATATACTGTGCTTCAGTTGTTGACTCTGCTTTGCTTTACTTTTTTTTTTTTTGGCAGTATTGGGGTTTGAATTAAGGGCCCCATGCTTTCTAGGTGAGCACTCTACCACTTGAGCACTCAACCAACTTAACTTTGTTTTCAATAACCAGTTGTAGATGAAGCTGTTTGAGTATAAGATAGGTCTCCAATTTGATAGACCAGAACCCTAATATTATCAGGGACAGATTGGTCATTTGAGAGAGCAGACAAATATGTCCTGAGGAGTAAAACAAAGCTGGCTTTGACTTTTGACCATCTTCTTTTTAGTTCAGTTCTGATTGGCACCCTACCTGACCACCTTTTTATATCTTAATTCTCTACAGAATCAAAATTCTACTATGTGCAGAGAATGACAAAAATTACCACCTCATTTGGGTGTAGTGTCACACATACCTGTAGTCTCAGCTGCTTGGGAGGCACCTTTGGCTAGGTGCCAAGGATCACTTGAGCCCAGGAATTTGGGACAAGTTTGGGCAACATAGTGAGATACCACAAAAATAACAAACAAAAACTAATACTTCATTACTGGCAAGAAGAAGAACTTCACCTTAACTATTCTAAAAACAAAGACAACAATTTTGGGGAGCCAATAGCTAATAGTTAGCCAGCTTCTGGCCTGTAATTCTCTGATCAACTCATTCATTTGAAACACAGGAAGTTTAGATATTCTAAGGTGCATTACTCAGATTTCTAAAAAACTCTTTTGGTAATTTTAAGCAGTGAGGTAGCATTTAATACCTTCTTCTAAATTTACCCTGCATTCATGGGGCTCCAGCACTTATTCATCCTTTAGGAATTGTCACCCCAATTTTTCCTTTGATTTTTGAGGTACTTCTTCTCCCTGTCCATGGGCACTTGATGAACCTAGGCCTCAGGGGAAGGTAAGCTGTGGTTCCTTTCAGGCTATTGAGGAGATGACCAACCCTCTCTGTGACCTGGCTGACCATCCATGCCAAGGTTGCCAAAGGGGCACCCCAAGAATGCTTCCACATTCAGAGACTTGTCATCGCCACACCAAACTCTCCAAAGGCTGGGTCAGAAAGACTACAGCCATGATGAATGCTCATCTCTCCTTCCTGGAAAGATGGAAGATTTGAAAGCTGGAGGACCAGCTTTCAAAATGTTATAAGTGGCAGAGGTACTCCCTCACGTTTTCTTCTTTTTCTAAAATAAAGAAATGTCACGAGCAAGTGCAGTGTACAGGACAGATGAAAGTGGAGCTTCTCTGGTTGAAGCCAGGATGATAAGAAGGGTGGGGACAAGAAGGACAGAGTCCACCCGTTAGCTCCTGTGTTTTGTGGAGAGCCCAGGCACAGCACAGCTACTTTATAGAGCTGCACTTGGGCATCTGAGAGGACAAACAGCTCTTACTAAGGCCTATGGCTAAGGACACAGTTCTCTTCTCTTACAGCAGCCTTTTTTTTTTTTTTTCTGCAGTACTGGGGTTTGAACTCAGGGCCTACACCTTGAACCACTCCACCAGCCCTTTTTTGTCATGGATTTTTTCCAGATAGAGTCTGATCTCTGTCTCCTCAGTAGCTAGGAGTATAAGCATGTGCTACCAGTGCCCAGCTCACAGCATCCTTTCTAGAAAGATCCATGAACGAAATTTCTTACAGGTCTTATTCATTTTTTTAAATACTTTATTTAATCCTATGGATGTCATGACTGATATCTTGCTTTGCCTTGGCTGCTAAGAAAGCACAGAGCTGATTTTGTAGGCCTTCTTTGATGGCTTCTCAGGACTGACTTGAACACATTCTAAGTTATGGATACAGTTGTTATTTCTACTTTATTTTATTTTCCCCCTAGTTTTCACATAATTTTAATTGAATTTTCTACCCTACACATGTGCATATATTACCTTAAATCCTTCCTAGAAGATAAAAGTAAACACATACATATGTAAGCATATTAAAAAACACGCAGACAGCCTTCAGTAACCATTTTGTGACCGTGCTTACCTCATTGGGGTGGAATCCATCCACAGGTTCAATGAGCTGCCAGGGCTGCCCACCCCTCTTCTGCCACTCATCTATAACTGCAGGACATACAAACAGAGGGTTATGGTCATGCTTCCATGAGCAATGGTCACTGCTGAAGGCAAGGACCCGTGAGATGTCATCGAGCTGTCCCCTGCCCTCTGGGCTCATGTTTATCCAGCCATGTTTATCTGTGGCTGCATCTGTGCTGCTGTCCTGGGCTTGGAGCTTTCTGCACAGAGATGATGTCTCTATTTGTGGTTTTAATTCTAATGCAGGAAGAGAATGTGTGAGCGTGTAGGATGAATGTGGTTTGTGTAGTGAGGGGAGTTGGGGGAGAAAGGGAGCTCTGAAATATTAGACACTGGTTTCAGTCCATCTCATTTTTCAGTGGCGTGGTAAGACAGGCAATATTGCAGGAAGGGGAATGTAACATTTAGCTGCCATTTGCAGGGACTGCCATTTGCAGACACTGCCTACATGTGTCAAGACATCACCTCAAACAATCACACAGTATGTCAGAAATCTAATCACATGAAATTATCTCAGCATTGCACTTAGAGAGAGTATGGCTACAGAGAAAATATTATGAGTCCCAAAGTGATGAAAACCAATAAAACTGTCCTTCAACGGGGATAAGAGACCAAGAATGTCAGTTGCTCCAAGGCAACTGTACAATTAACTCTATGTTGTAATAACACAAAGCCAGTAAGAACTCTTCAAGGAAACTCTAGTCCCTAGATAGCCTCCAGAGAGAAGAATCAAAGACTCTACTCCCTGCATACTTTTTGCACTTGCCTGTCTGGTGTCTGGCTAGGGCAGTAGCATAGCTAATATGCCTCCAGTTCTTTTCACATACCCCCATTCCTCCAGAAAACTCAGGAGCAGAGGGCTATATCCCCTCCTCCCCACCTTACCCCAGAGAAGATTCTGTTGGGCCCTAGGTTGACATGGCAAGCTGGACTTCCCCAGGGCTGAATCAATATTCGCTGCTTTTGCAATTACTGCAGACATCACAGCATGCTAGCCTATTCCACTTACGACCTCATTCTTGTCCCTTGAGAGGCTGCACATAATTCTGCCTTTCTTAGAGCTCAGAAAAAAATTCATACTGGTGGCTTGGAGTTCTATACCCTGGATCACCAGTCTCTGTTAGCTTATTTCCCTCCATGAGCAGCTCTTGTATAGTACCTTCTGGGTCTTATTAGAGGTTGTTAGCAGAAGTAGCTATTGGAAAATGGCCTTTATATTTCTTGTAAAATTCAAATTGAGTTGTTCACTGTGTTACTGTGTCAATGAGGTGTCCCCATGTTGAATCTCAAGTTGCTTCATGCTGATAAAGGATATCTCGCTCTGAAGAAATGGTATGTATCTGCTCTTCCCATAGGAAGCTCAGAGCTGCCTTGGGCATAGGCCACACATTGGAAGCTATGACCTTGGAATCAGATTTTCTGCTTCAGGTTCAATTCTGGATGCTCCACCCTTCCCTCTGCACTTCACACTTTGAAACTCCTTTGATCACCCTCCTTGGCTCACCCTGCCATGTTGTTCAGCTCATGCTTTGCTTGGCCTGCTCACCTGCTGTGTCATTCACCTACATTGTTTCAGGTTGAACATTTTCCTCTTTGCCCAGGTTGAGGATGGGCTAGTTTCCTCCTCTTATTTTGAATCCTGCATTTCTATTTTTTAACTTTATTTTCATTTTCTATCAGAGTCCCCTCCAGTCTGAACATGAAAGAATGAGAGAAAATCTCAGTGAGATGTTGAATGGACTGAATGTTTGTGACCTCCTCAGATGTTGCATTTCTAACCCTGATGAGATGGTACAGGAGGTGGAGCCTTGGGGATACAATTTGGCCGTGAGGGTGGAGCCTTTGTGAACATGTCCTGAGAAGAGATCCTGGGAAGCTCTCTCACCTCCTTTCTGTTGTGTGAGGATACAAGAAACTGACAGTCTGCACATAGATGAGGGCCCTCACCAGAACCTGACCATGCTGGCACCCTGATCTTGGACCTCCAGCCTCCAGCACTGTAGAAATAAAATTCTGTTGTTTACAAGCCACCCAATCTAATGGTACTTTATTATAGTAGCCAGAGCTGAGCAAAATAGATATTCAGAAATTTCCAAGCAGTGCTAATAAGATCGGGGCAGTGGGAACTGAGTCCAGTCAAGATCTCAGAGGGAGACTGCTGAAAAGTTATAGAGTTGGATGAAGAAGACACATGGCAGAAGTCTTTCTATTAGGCAGACATACAGCAAGACATGGACCTGATCTAGAACACTGGGGCATGCTATGGTCCAGTGGGATAGGAAGCCTCACATAAGACTTTTTGACTCTTCATGTTTGCAGAGAAGGTTGAATGACAAGTTCAATCAAAACCCATGCTTTCAATGGTCAAGAGAAATTCCAGAGAAGAATCACCGGGAAGAAGAGATATGGAAATTCCACAGTAGATAGCAGGCTCATGCCTAAAATCCTAGCTACTCAGGAGGCAGAGATCAGGAGGATCATGGGTTGAAGCTAGACCCAGGCAAATAGTCTGTGAGACCTTATCTTGAAAACACTCAACACAAAAAAGGACTGGTGGAGAGGTTCAAGTGGTAGAGCACCTGCCTAGCAAGCCTGAGGCTCTGAGTTCACACCCCAGTACCGTCCCCCCCACCAAAAAAGCAAGTTGGAGCCTGTTAAGGAAACACATTTAAGCCAAGATTGTGTTCCTTGAGAGAAATGTTTACTAGAATCACCATATTAAAAGGTCAGATTTGCATATACATGAGTTTCTCTGTGTGTGATTCAGTTCTGGCATCTAAGATTAAGGTTATTTTAGGCTATTTCCATTTTGATTTGAGTTTGCTGAGTGCTACTAACTATCAAACTAAAAACTATGGCCCTTAGAGAAAGACAGAGATGTTGACAGATATCTTCATAGAACAAACAGACATAATTCAATTGTCAGAATTAATGATTATTTTCAAAGTGGGAAGAGCTGGTGGTTCCCTTCTACTCGCCTTGGAGACTAAGTAATCCCTTAATTGTGGGGATTATGGGAAAGAAAGCACAAGAACAAAAGCATGAAGCAAAAGGAAAGAATATTCTTGCCAAAAGTTGCATGGAGCAGGGATATAATTTAGGGTAGAGGGCAGTGGGAGAGAACCATTTTTTATTATCATCACACTCTGGCAATTTTAAACTGTATCAGTGATAGCATATTCCTTCTTTCCAGGAAACTTTTCCTTCTCCTAAGATGTGTTCCCTCTCCCCCCATATTAGTAGGCTACTATGAGGGAGTCCAGCCTTCAAAAGAACTGGCTTGCTCTATAAAATAATACAGTAAATATTGAAAGAAAATGTCACAGGCTATGATCAGTCCAGTCACAGAGGGAAGCATCATTTTCTTACATGATTATTGGGCCACACATAGAAGTACACAGCAGGGTTGTAAAATCTGAAGACAGCCTCAGTAACTCACAGGCCAGACTTTAAGATTTTATCTGTACCTTGCTTATGACTAGATAGAGTGATCCTTTTGTAAAAATCTCAGTATGAAATTCTACTTTCTCAGGAGAAATGGAATAGCAGATTGTGGTCTTTATTTCTTCCCTGATTGATTTTATAAGGGCAGGTCTAGTCAGGGGTAATCTAGTAAATTGATCAGTTTCCTTCCTACCTGGGATCATCATTCAAAATAGCGAAATGAATTCATATTTGTTCTTCAGAAGACCTCAATTAAACTTCTTGATCTAACATGAACCATCTGTTGGGATTTGATGCATAATATATTTTCTTTGTCTGTGAAATCAGAGAAATTCTGATGATGACCAGGTCTTTAAAGAAGCAATGGAAATAGTAGAAGATTTATAAGACACTTGGTGACTATTTGATGAACAGAAACACTTGCAGGTATTTTAAAGAGAAATCTGTGTTCTGGTCAGCACCATGGCAGGGCAGGGAGGGGGAAAGAGACTAAGAACCTGGTTTACTCAATTGAGTTGTCTCCAAAGCTGAGGGCAGCTGGAGGTATATTTAAACTGTCAGTGTAAAAATGGCCTTGTCAGCCAAGTGGCATTTTCTTTCCTCTGTCAGGGAGGTGTGGTACAGACAAAGAAAAAGGACATCACCTGCTTAAGCTGACATTTCCTGAAGGGAGGAAAAATTGCTGCCTCTGCTTAGTTCATAACCAGTTGGAGAATGAGTCAGCAAAGGACAAAAAGGAGTCTTTGGAGATGAGCAGTCATCTTTCAGTGCTGGACTGGGGCTGTCAGAGTGGAGAACAAATAGGTCTTGTGCCTACCCTCAAGTGACAGGCATCCTTAACTGCAATTCACTCTGTCACAGGATGTAAAACTGCATTTCAGTGTCATGAAAAATTAGGATATTTGTGATGCAATAGTCAGTTTAAATGTAGTATGCAAGTGAAAAGAGAGATTTTCATGAGACTATTAATATAGAAGGTTTAATAAGTGGCCATTGAGTTTTTATTTCTGATAAAAGGAGACCTCAGTGTTAACAAGCTGCATTGTTTCTACCATATGTTCCTCGAAGGAACTCAAAGAAATCCTCAGGCATGAATGATGATGGGAGGTGGGTGGGCATTGAAAGTGGCTAGTCATTTGTCATGTGGAAGAATGTAGGAGTTGCCTTACATACATTGATGACAGAGTCCTTGGGGATGCCAGCTTTTGAGTATTACTTTATAAGTTTTGCTCAGTTAATCCTTACATAAATTCTATAGCTTAGTTATTGCTATCTTCACATAAAAAGTAACAATGACTGAATGGTTATTTAATTTTCTTGTGTGTGAACAGGGATAAGAACACAGTTGTAAATCCTGAGTTCTTTCTGTAGCAGCAGATTACACAGCATGGGGTAGGCTCCCACGATGATGTGCTGTCTAATTTCTAAGATGATGATCTGTCAGGACTGGGTCACCCACAGAGGTGGGTCTCTGTGGTGGATGATCCCTCCAACCTACTCTGGTAAATGCTAAAATTTTAAGTTTAAAATTTCTCAACTTGGCCAGAAGTCAAGACATTACTATAGTTCTTAAAAATTAGATTTCAGCCCTCTCATAATGGCTAGGCAGTACCTAGCCATTAACTGATATGGCAGCCATATCAGATGTCATGTAGGCACATCCTTGGGTACCATCCTTCTGTCTCCACTCTTCGTCTCACTATGTCTACGTGTCGTCCCTCATTGTGTGCCACTAACTTCATATGGAGAAGATGAAGAAAGCCCTGTGCCCAAACTTGATCTTATTTTTAATAAATGGTGACAGATTGCAAAATGGAAAGTTCATTGGAATGTTGATGGAATTGCTAAGCCAGGGGGAAAACTTGGGAAGTTGTTGCCGTGTTCATGTAGAACTTATTTTAACTGAACTTTTTGCTTTTTACTGAATTTATTGTTGCTGTGAGGATAGAGAAGAGCTGAGGAAGCTTTGCTTCCAAGCACACCAGTTCACCAGTGGTGTGTATTGGGTCCAGAATAAAGCTCTTCTCTCCATCCTCCATGGAGATTATGCTGGTTGACAATTACATTTGAAGCACCTACACAGTTCTTGGCACATAGAGGACTTAGTGAAAACCTGATGACTAAGAGGATATTGGAGAGCTCAAAGTATTGAAATTTACTAGACATGTAGATGAACTATGGATTGTGTTCACATGCAAACTCTCATTAGGAAGATCTGGAATAGGGCCTGGGATTCTGCAGTTATAGCCCCCTCCCAAGATGGTGCTGATTTTGCTTATCTAGAACCACATTTCAGCAGCATTACAGATTAAGGGTGTGGTACTTAGTCCTCCTACTGACTTTGTACCAAGCACAGAAGTTATGAGGATGACATATTATTTCAAATAATTATCACAAAGATTTGTTAGGTAGGTATGGTGTCTCCATTCCCAGTTCTGAAAAAGGGCAGATTAGGGATGCTTTGAGAATTACATGTAGTCTCAGCAATAATAAATGACAGAGCTAGAGATCACTCTGGAGGATAAAAAATGTCCCATGCGAACATTAGAGATTATTATATTTTTAATAACTTAATCTGTATTCAAGGTTGGTGATGATCAAAGATCACTTGGTGGTACATTTGTTTACAGCAAGAATTCATTAATGAGTTTTTAACTCTGCATTTTAATGAGAGGTTATTTATCAAAATATCTCTCCCCATGAGAGAAAAATGTATCATGTAGGCAGGAAATCTAGTTAAGGGAGATCAGTCTTGATGTAAAGATGTTCAGAGTTGAAGTACTAGGGTCTACAATGCACAACGTGTCAGCTAATGTAATATTTGATAATTCATGATGGCCATCTGCTCTATACCAGATGCTTGGGCTGGGGGGGAGATTGTGATGGGGAATAGAGATGATAAACTCTAGATGAGAAATCTTCCATCCTTTGCACACACCAAGAAGCTTTTCATTAGCATCATCTCAGCTGGCAGTCAATCAACAGGAGACTTTTCTCTTGTAGGAAAATTGCTTAGCAATGAAAATGAATCTGGAAAGATTACAATCAATAAATAATATTTTTTTCCAGAGTCAAGATGTAAAGGATAAATCAGTAACTCCAGCAATCATGTCTATTTTGTGTGACCACTCATCAGTGACTTCAGTGTTAGGACAGAATGCTAGAATAGAAAATTAATATCCTTTCCAGAAAGCTGGGACATAGGTTGTCTACACAAATTCTTTGAGCTATCCCTTAGAGATTCTGATTAGGTTCAGGTTCAGGTTCATCCTGTATGGTGCCTAAGAATGTGCATTGCCCTACGGTAATAAAGTGCCCCAGGATGAGAGGCACTGCCTCATCCCTCATTTCTTGCCTACCTATGTTTGTTCATAGGTAAGCAGGACACTGCTACCTTGGACAGAACAGGCTAGGTGATTCCATTAGTTGGAAGTCTTCCATCCCAAAGCTCTCTCCAAATGGTCTTTGGGTCTTGATTCAAAGCTTTTTATTTTGTAGTGTTAGGGATCAAACTCAGGGCCTTGGGCATACTAGACAAGTGCTCTACCACTGAGCGACATCCACAGCATGTCAAAAATGCTAACAGGAATTAAGAAGGTGATGCCATGTCCCAACATACTCAGTCTCACTCATCTTTTGTAAATACTAAAAGCTATTAGAGTCAGGAGAGGCATACTGAGTAACCCTGCCCAATCTGCCACTTGTTGCTTCAGAACACATTGCTCTAGCAGCTCCCCGCTGTAGCTGCTGCATTTGTCTCTGTCAATACCTAAACCAAGCAACTTACTTTCTTGGAAGGCAAAATCCATGTAGAAAAGATGGAAGTTCTATTCATGTGCAAATGACCAATGAACATGTGAAACATGTTACCATTCATTAGAAATCAAATCAGTGCAAAGTAAAGTAATAAGATACTACTTTCCCCCCCATAGGACTGGCAGAGATGAGAGGAACAACCTTGATAATATTGAATGCTGTCAGGAGCAGGTGAAAAGAGAACATAGATTAGTTTTGCCTTTCTAGACAGCTGTTTTGCAATATGGATTGAATTCTTAAACATGTCCATAGCTTTTGGCCAAATAAACTTAAGGGAATTTGTCTTAAGAAAGTGGAGAAGTACACAAAAACATACATCTTTATATGTATGATTGTTCACCACAATTCTATCTATCATAGTGAATTCTATTTATATGGAAACAATCCATATGTCTAACACCAATGGACGGAATAATCGTGGGACATTCATATCATATGCAGATACTTTAAATGATTGGATTATTGTGATGTGAAGAAACAATTCATGAGCATTGGGGATGTGTACAATAGTGTGTACTGTCAGACTCTGTGGACAAATCCCACAGATACCTATCTATGGAAGTCATACACACATAGTCACTTTAGGTGGTGAAACATTGGATAATTTTTGCTGTTGTTTTTTGTGTATTTTATGTTCTCCATATGTTTTAAATTGAAATAGTTTTCTTTAGTTTTTAAAAAAAGATTCAATCAGTCTTTTACAAAGAGATTATTTACCTTCTGTGAAAGAAACAAATCATTTTGCTTAGGCAATGGATTTCCCTCAGAGATGTGAGGAGATCTTTCTTGACCTCCAGAGTGCTCCAGTCACATATAGGGTTGACTTTGCTCAGCCCTGTCCATCTCTCCACATAAAAGCTGTGTGTGTGTGTGTGTGTGTGTGTGTGTGTGTGTGTGTGTGTGTGTGTGTGTGTGTGTGCATGCATGGGAGTCATGTGCACACAGATTGGGACAGTGACTGAGAGACACAGAAAAGACAGACCCAGAGATAGGCCCAGAGAAGGGTAGAGAGTCACAGGCACCCAAAATTCTCCTGGCTTCTTCAACTCCCTGGCGCTTTGATTTTGTTATTCACTAGCTTGGAACGATAATGCTGCCCGAATGCCATCCCTGCAGCACAACAGGGAAAAATGTTCAAAGATGGAATCAAATGGCTTGTGACTATCCTACCTCTGAAGTGAGAGTACGGAGTGTCTTGTTGGAAGACATCCAGCCATGGCAGGGACTGACCTGAGAGCAGAAAAACAGCATTGTTAAAGAGGAGTAACCATGGGCAACATGTGTGTGTGTGTGTGTGTCCTTGGAGCAGCAGGTTGGTGGACATACCTGAAGGCAGCTCAGGAATGAGAAGAATTGTGCATAGGTCACGTCTTTATTTAGCTGGCCTGGAAAACATAGAGGTCTAGTATGTCACATAGCAACATCTGGGTGACTCTGCCTTCCTTGCAGAGGGTGGCACTTGCCCTGAGTTGTCATTTAGCATTGCTCTTGAAGAATGCCTGCCTTCTACTTCTTTCAGAACCCGACTTGGGGAGGGTCCTTACGGACTCTCCTCCTATGTAGAGCTCTTGGCCTGGGCAAGGACTTCAGGGAAAATATAGGTGGTTCCACGTGGACCAGAAGGATAGAACAATAATGTGGCCATTTTGTGAATTGGCCAAAAATGGCAGCCCACCCTTAAACAAAACAAATTCCCACGCTCTAAGACAGCCCCACCCCTACCAGAGACTACTGCGCACACGCTAACTTCCTTCCCCTCCCCCTTCTATAAAAGCCACTGCTCGCCCAGGCTTGGGGCTGCGCCATCTTTTTCCTGGCCAGCCTGGCAGTTTGGGCCTGCCATTAAACTTTGCTCTATGGACGTGAGTTTTCTTGTGAGCTTTCTTTGTGAGCGGCGTTTTTCCTAACACAGAATGCCATGCACAAAGCACTTAGCAAGCAGACCCTTACTCTTGGCAATGGCATGAAATGCCAAGTTTCTGTGGGACCAGGGACTCAGTTGGCTGAATTCTCCTTTCCAAGTTTATGAAACATTCAGGTCTGACTATGCTGAGGACCTGGCAGGATATTCTGAGTGTCGTTTGGTGAACTGAAGGCCTCCACTTGAGCAGCTCAAATGTGCTTGGGCAGCATGGGGAGGCCAGCACTTTTTGTCTCCTTTCATGGCACTGTGTTAGGGGTTGCCCAATAGATGCCTTATTTAAGCCCTAATTGGTAGATATGCTCTACACTTAGTTTTCTTAGTGCAGGTTAAAGAGGTACAGCAGAATGAGAGGAGAAGTACCATGGTGGGGGTTCATCCAGAACTATTCTGAGCATCAGCTATAGACTCCAAACTCGGGGGGATTACTTATTCTCTCTTCCAATGTTCTACTCTCCACTCACCATCCTTCTAGCTTATCTACTCCTGGAGTCAATCACCTTTCTTGTTGTGGCTGACACATAAAATCCACGCTATCCCCAAATCTCCAGCATGAATGACTGATGCTATAGCCATTAACACTTCTCATACTCTCAAGAAAATCAAAGAGGATAATAGGACCTATCTCAGAGTGAAGAGAAAGATTGAAGGTGATGGAGCACAGTCTTATTTTTCTCCTACAACTCAGATCAGTTAGACTGAAAGATTGATTCAATTAGCTTGTCATAGTGGAAAAATAATCTGTCTGTGTGGGTGAGGGAACGTCAGGACTGGAAAGTCCCAGATTTTAAAGTCACAGAACCTACCAGTTCTCTGTGTCTGCGTCTTCACATTTTAGACAAATTGCAAGCCACTGGCTTCTGTCTTTTCTTTCATTTCATAGACCTCAACATGGAGCTCAGAGCCTTTGCCTCCACCCACTGAGGCTTCTTTCTCTTTACTTTCTTCTTTTTTGACATTTTGCAACTTGCCCCTTTCCTCTATGTGTCCCTGCCAGTCTCAGCCCAACCAGCTTGATTCAGTGACTGATACCTTCAACCTCTGCTCTCTACCCTGGGTCCTCCACATGCCCAATGACTCAGCCCTTTCCGTTCTGAGTGGCAGCCTTATTTCTTCCCATCCTCTATTTCTGGCTGGCCTTTGCCTCGTTGCCTTCTGCCATCTTGTTTCTTTGTTGGGACTGGTGTGTCTTTCTTAGACAGCTTGGCAGGGGCCCGAGCACCTTGATTGGCTCTGATGTGTTCCTTCACCCTGAGGAGTGGCCTGTCTCTTCTTACTCTGCTCAGTAGCTAAGGTCTCTTCAAACTGAAAGAGGAGGCACTTCATGCCTAATCTTGAGTAACTCTCTGTCCTCCCTGCCCCACCCTAAGCCTGGATTGCTTTGATATCCACAAGGACTTTCTGTATGGATACTGTGGGCTGCTGGTTACTCCTTGGAGGTTAAGCCCAGTCACAGTCCTGTTTCATTCTGCCTTATTTGCTTCTTCCTGCTGTCCTACTGCTGAGGTCCCAGCATAACTTGGGCTGAGATGTATTCTCCTTCTGGAATAAATGCAATCCCTCTCTCTTTTCCCCCCATTCTCTACTCTCCTGGCACTGGCTCCAAACTCGTTGACAAAGGGAAAATCTTTATTGTGAGCAGCTAGGTCTGCTCAGCAGGCTAAAGTCACATTAGGTGTAAGAGAAGATAACTGGAAAATGTTAATGTTTTCTTTCTCTCTGTTATTGCTGCCTGTTGGAGAGCAGGATGCCTCTATGCTGGTCACGTGGAAGGTTGGTTAGGAGTGGAGTGCTTGTGTTACTGACTGAAAGGAAGGGGGAGAGGGCTCCTAAGCTTCTTCCTTTTACTGGTACTGTCTGTTGGCCATTCTTTCTTTCTTTCTAGGTATTACCTTAATCTCTGTTGCTTTACTGTAATTTTTGGATATGGAGGAACCCTAGTATACAGACTGATCTTAGCTATGTGCTGTGCATGCAAAGAGGTTGTGTCTGTGACACCCTGATCAGAATGACCAGAGTCTCACTAAGAACACTGAATGCCAGGACTCCAAAAGCACAGAATAGGTGTTTCAGACAGGTTACTAAAATGAAAGTCAAGCTTGACATTTCTCAAAAGACCTATGTAAGTAGAATCCTAATGTGTTAGATTTGCTTCTGGCAATTCCTCACAAAGACAATAATAAACTCTCTCCAGGAATTTTAATTACCAGTGGAGATTGCTCATGGCAACTAGTCATTGACTATAAGTGACTCACCATGATGGTTGAGAGGAGAGATGCTAAAGGGGTTCATCACATCTTCCTCCTTGGAAGGAATGGAACTAGAACATATCCTTGTTCTGGGCTTCCATTCCCTATGGATCTGATGCTAAAGCATTTTGCTTTTTCTTTACTGAATGGTTGAGCTATGTTCTGCCTGTCCTACCAAAGGGGAAGGAGGCAGTAGAGAATGGATAACTGACCAGAGGCTCTCTGAATCCCTATGCTCCCTGATCTCTGTCTTAATCCTCTTGTAGTGGCTGTAGTCAAGTTTAGAGACTCAAAATCATGTTTGTAGGCTCAAATATAGAAATAAACAGAATGCTCCCTCTCTCCCTGTGTTTCTGCTACATGCAGTTCTGCACAGTGCCCCAGGAGTCTGCATCCAGTTTTGGGCTGATGATTAGGATGAGATCTGTGCCAATCTGGAGAGTTGCCAAACCCACAGCCAGTCCAGCATCAACCTTGCTTCATGGCTGGTTCACATCCAGTGGGCATGGAGATGCAGAGGCTGGATCTGGAATTGGAGCAGAAGAAGAGGGACAGTGCCAGGGCAGCAGTCCTCCCTCCAAGCCCCTTGTCTGATATGACTGTTAAGCTATGCTGAAGGAGGACCAGGGAGGCTGTGTGAGTCCTGTCTACTCCCCCAGTCTTTCTATGAAGGACCCTGATGCTTCTTCAAGAAATGTATAACTTATTTTTCCATGGCAACCAGGCAGCAGGGATAATTTGGGATGTGAGAAATTACTTAAAACATATTAAACAAATTTTAGATCGTTTCAATTTTCTCCCTAATTAGATTTCCCCCCTTCCAAACTTGGGTGTTTATATAGGATAAACATGTTTCATCTTTTCTTATCCTCCTTGTGCTGTGAAATGCTAGCACAAGATTAGTAGCCAGAGAGAGGACAGAATTTCTCACTCTTGGTGCTATTGACATTCTTGGTTGTAGAGGGCCACTCTGTTGTAGAATGTTTACCCAAATCCCTTCCCCACCCCTCCTCAATAGGGACAACAAGTGGGGATGGATGGGTTGTTACCTGATTGAGACCACTGGCTTAGAGAATTCACAAAAGTGAATGGTGAGCCTCCTATCATGTTTTTTTCCTTCTATCACTCCTATCCAAATTGCATGGGTCATTATTATCTAATGTGGTGAAATCAAGCAAATTGTGTGGCATATCTGAAAGAATTTATGAGGGCATTCTAAGTAGGAGTTTATGAAAAGAGAGTGGGATTTGAGATAAAAATCCAAAGTCCAGTCCTGGTGAGGTGGAGTAAATCAGGAACACACTTTGCCTGCCCCCAGCTTCTCTTCTCCATGTATTTCTTAGTATAGGAGAAATTCAGCAATCTAATGGAATCTGTTGGGGACAAGATTACAGTTTTTCATATCCAATGGTTCAAAGAGACTTTCTTAGCTTAAATGGTTGCCCTTTAAGTATGCAGGACAGCCCAAATGGAGTGAAGTTCTCCTGTGTGTGATCACATTATTGTTTTTCAGGAGCAGGGTCAAGGTTGTCTGAACAGGAAGAATATGTTTTCCTTAGGCAAGGCAGGATAGTGATTTACATGGATAATATTTGTGATACACTTGATTCAGTAAGTCAGAAGGAAAATGATTTCATCCTCAGTGGTGTGAAGTCTGAATGTTGACATCTGATTCCTCCCCCAGTGAAGACAGTGGAGCCGTTGAGATCCTTGAGAGCTGGCTAAAAGGTGCCTACTCTTTTCTCATGTGGTGAGGGGTGGAATTTCTTGGGGGAGAAGTAAACAGGGAGTTGCCTTAAACAGAAACTGCAGGAGGAGGACAAAGGGGGAGAGAAAATATGCAAAGTTATCTACACAGGGAAAGCTCATGATGGCCTCAACCGTAACATCTTGCTCTCTACCCCTCTCTCTAAGGAGGGTACTAAGGAGTGAGCTTCAGGTCTTCCTGTTTGAACTGCTTCCCTGAGTCACAAGAAAGTGCTTGGGGCTCCAGCACAATTTAGCTTTGGTTGGTCTCAGGAGGTGAATATGGTGACACTAGGGAAGGGCAGCCTCTTCATCACTGACTGACACAGTGTTCTCAAGATGGGGCTGAAGGGAGGAAACCCAGGCTCTCTTGTAGACACTTATCAGAGAGGATGGAGGCCAGTGCTTCCTATCCCTCTTCCTTGCCTAATTTTCTTCCAGTGATGCTCATCATCCTTTGGCATATTTTGGAGTCCTTTATCCCCACTGGAATTTAAGTTTCATGTAGGTAGGGATTTAGGGCTGCTGTATTCACAGCTGGTTACCAGTACCTAAACAGTGCCTGGACTAAAGGGCATTTAATAAATGGGTTTTGAAAGGGCATCCTCCCCAGATGTACAGAACACAGAGCCGTGCTGCCCTCAGCTTACATACACACATGAGCTGTGCCCTATTTGGTGAGCTATATGAGTCTTAGTATTTTCATGTACAAAATGGAATTAGTTAATGAAAACATGTCTCTCACAGGATTGCTTTAAGGATAGGGATGGCAGCCCTTACTCATGTGAATTTTAAAGTCCCCAGAGGCAGGGACTCCAAGAGAGAATAGATTCAGGGAGCGAGTAGCTTCAAGGCCTGTGTTTCACAGTCCTAACTGGCTACCTAGAGAAACTCACAGTAAAGGTATACAGAAATCCCTCCCTTTGACTCAGAGCTTTTTGTCTCTCCTGTTTGGGCTTCTTCAGCTCATTCTGTTTTTTGAGACAATGTCTCACTATGTAGTTCATACTGGCCTTGAACTCACAATCTTCCTGCCTCAGCCTCTCAAGTGCTGTGATTACAGGCATGTACCACCATACCCTGCTGTATTTCACTTGTTAAAGGAGTTTCCTCATTCAAACTCTTCCCTTTCAATTTTTCCTAATTCTTCACTAATTACATATGCCCTTTCTGGCTTTGGATCTGATTCTGCCTGTCTTTAGATAATGAATATTAGAAATAACACCCGAGGGCCCTTCCTTTCACATGTATCTATATATGCATTGTCAAAGAGTTAAACTATCTGCAAATTGATACCGAGAGGATGATATCTGTTGTGCAAATTATCCCAGAGAAAGGTTCCATCTGGCAAGCCATATAAGATAACATGGCTGCCGTTCGGCAGGTGGGAGTTGAGATGATGCAGAGTCTGCATGACTCTGGAATATAATTGCTCAGGAGTGGTCATTTGTGGGACTGGATCGCTCTTCCTGTTGGTGGAAGAAATGGAAAATGTATTAGCTGATTACAAGGATAGCTGCATGCAAATACAAGATACAACACACACACATGTACACACCCCCACACATGCAAACACTTTGGTGGCTATTGTAACTATTTTGCAAAATATTCTTGGCTTTCCATCTTTCTGGTACATGGTCACATTGTACTGCCTGACTGCTTGTGGTTGGGTGGGTCATGTGATTGGTTCTGGCCAATGAGTTGAGAGCAAAGGTGATGTGGGTCATGTTTGTGGGATGAGATCCTCTACAGTGTTCTTTTTCTTTACCATGGGTATGGACAGTGTTCCAGACAATGCTTCATCAATTTGTGTCCTGAAACAGACTCCCATGGTTGTCTCAGATAGACATGTCTTGTGTGTGGGAATTAAACACTTGTTGCTTTATGCTACTAAGATTTTTTTTCTTTTTTTTATAGAACACCCAAAATTATTCATATTTGACATTATAATACTGTAAGAGACAAATACCCATAGTCCTAAGTTAACTATAACTAAAGCTCAATAACACTGTAATGAACTTGATAGGCTTTTTAATTGTAAAAAGAGAAAGATTCATTCATTCAACCAGTATTCATTGAATTTCTACTATGTGCTGACTTTGGAAATAAATCAGCAACAAACTGCACAAAATTTCTTGTCCTCATGAGCATACATTCTGGGTGGAGGAAAACTGATAAAATGAACAAGTACCAGGTAGTGCAAGCCTATAGTCCCTGCACTCAAGAAGCTGAGGCAGATGAGTGCATATATTAAAAAGACTGAAAGATCCCAAATCAACAACCTAATGATACATCTCAAACTCCTAGAAAAACAAGAACAAGCAAATCCCAAAACAAATAGGAGAGAAATAATAAAAATAAGAGCTGAAATCAATGAAATAGAAACCAAAAAAAAAAAAAAAACATACAAGGAATTAATGAAGCAAAAAGTTGGTTCTTTGAAAAAATAAACAAGATCGACAGACCCCTGGCAAACCTGACTACAATGAGGAGAGAAAAAACCCAAATTAGTAGAATCAGGAATGAAAAGGGGAGATAAACAAACACCATGGAAGTCCAGGAAATCATCAGAGACTACTTTGAGAACCTATATTCAAATAAATTTGAAAATCTTAAAGAAATGGACAGATTTCTAAATACATATGGTCATCCAAAACTGAACCAGGAGGATATTAATCACTTGAATAGATCTATGACATAAAATGAAATTGAAGCAACAATCAAGAGACTCCCCAAAAAGAAAAGTCCAGGTCCTGATGGATTCTCTGCTGAATTCTATCAGACTTTTAAAGAAGAACTGATACCAACCCTCCTTAAACTGTTCCACAAAATAGAAAGGGAAGGAAAACTGCCTAACACATTTTATGAAGCCAGTATTACACTTATCCAGGCAAAGACACTTCCAAAAAGGAGAACTATAGGCCAATCTCCTTAATGAACATTGATGCAAAAATCTTCAATAAAATAATGGCAAACCTAATTCAACAACACATCAAAAAGATTATTCACCACGACCAAGTAGGCTTCATCCCAGGAATGCAGGGGTGGTTCAACATACGAAAATCCATAAATGTAATAAACCCATTAACAGAAGCAAAGACAAAAACATTGATCATCTCAATAGATGCAGAAAAGCCTTTGATAAGATCCAACATTTCATGATAAAAGTCTAAGAAAACTAGGAATAGAGGAAAGTACCTCAACATTATAAAAGCTACATATGATAAACCTACAGCCAGCATTATACTTAATGGAGAAAAACTGAAACCATTCTCTCTAAAATCAGGAACCAGACAAGGATGTCCACTATCTCCACTCCTATTCAACATAGTACTGGAATTCCTAGCCAGAGCAATTAGGCAATAAAAAAGAATAAAAGGAATACAAATAGGTAAAGAAACTGTCAAAATATCCCTATTTGCAGACGACATGATCCTATACTTAAAGACCCAAAAAACTCTACTCAGAAGCTTCTAGACACCATCAATAGCTATAGCAAGGTAGCAGGATATAAAATCAACATAGAAAAAGCATTAGCATTTCTATACATTAATAATGAACAAACTGAAAAAGAATATATGAAAACAATTGCATTTACAATAGCCTAAAAAAAAAATCAAATATCTAGGTGTAAACCTAATAAAGGATGTGAATGACCTCTACAAGGAAAACTATAAACTTCTAAAGAAAGAGAATGAGGAAGACTATAGAAAATGGAGAGTTCTCCCATGCTCATGGATTGGTAGAATCAACATAGTAAAAATGTCTATACTCCTGAGAGTAATCTACATGTTTAATGCAATTCCCATCAAATTCCCAATGACATTCATTAAAGAGATTGAAAAATCTACCATGAAATTTATATGGAAACACAAGAGGCCACGAATAGCCAAGGCAATACTCAGTCAAAAGAATAATGCTGGAGGTATCACGATACCCGACTTCAAACTATACTACAAAGCAATAACAATAAAAACAGCATGGTACTGGCACAAAAACAGACATGAAGACCAGTGGAACAGAATAGAGGACCCAGATATGAAGCCATACAACTATAACCAACTTGTCTTTGACAAAGGAACTAAAAATATATGATGGAGAAATAGCAGCCTCTTCAACAAAAACTGCAGGGAAAACTGGTTAGCAGTCTGCAAAAACTGAAACTAGATCCATGTATATCACCCTATACCAATATTAACTCAAAATGGATCAAGGATCTTAATATCAGACCCCAAACTCTAAAGTTGATACAGGAAAGAGTAGGAAATACTCTGGAATTAGTAGGTATAGGGAAGAACTTTCTCAATGGAACCCCAGCAGCACAGCAACTAAGAGATAGCACAGGTAAATGGGACTTCATAAAACTAAAAGCTTCTGTCAGCAAAAGAAATGGTCTCTAACTGAAGAAACCCACAGAGTGGGAGAAAATATTTGCCGCTAACACATCAGACAAAGGACTGATAACTGAATATATAGGGAACTTAAAAACTAAATTCTCCCAAAATTAATGACCAATAAAAAATGGCACGTGAACTAAACAGAACTTTCTCAAAAGAAGAAATTCAAATGGCCAAAAAACACATGAAAAAATGCTCACATCTCTAGCAATAAAGGAAATGCAAATTAAAACCACCTAAGATTCACCTCACCCCTGTTAGAATAGCCATCATTAGCAACACCACAACAACAGGTGTTGCGGGAGTGTGGGGAAAAAGGAACCCTCTTACACTGTTGGTGGAATGTAAACTAGTACAACCACTCTGGAAAAAAATTTGGAGGCTACTTAAAAAGCTAAACATTGATCTACCATTTGATCCAGCAATACCACTCTTGGGGATATACCCAAAAGACTGTTACTCCAGAGGCACCTGCACACCATGTTTATTGCAGCACTATTCACAATAGCCAAGTTATGGAAACAGCCAAGATGCCCACTACTGACGAATGGATTAAGAAAATGTGGTATCTATACACAATGGAATTTTATGCAGCCATGAAGAAGAACGAAATGTTATCATTCGCTGGTAAATGGATGGAATTGGAGAATCATTCTGAGTGAGGTTAGCCTGGCCCAAAGACCAAAAATCGTATGTTCTCCCTCATATGTGGACATTAGATCAAGGGCAAACACAACAATGGGATTGGACTTTGAGCACATGATAAAAGCAGCACACAAGGGAGGGTGAGGATAGGTAAGACACCTAAAAAACTAGCTAGCATTTGTTGCCCTTAATGCAGAGAAACTAAAGCAGATACCTTAAAGCAACTGAGGCCAATAGGAAAAGGGACCAGGAACTAGAGAAAAGGTTAGATCAAAAGAATTAACCTAGAAGGTAACACACACGCACAGGAAATCAATGCCAGTCAACTCCCTGTATAACTATCCTTATCTCAACCAGCAAAAACCCTTGTTCCTTCCTATTATGGCTTATACTCTCTCTACAACAAAATTAGAGATAAGGGCAAAATAGTTTCTGCCGGGTATCGAGGGGGTTGGGGGGAAGAGGAGGGGTTGAGGGGAGGGGAGAGAAATGACCCAAACATTGTATGCACATATGAATAAAAAAAGAAAGAAGCTGAGGCAGGAGGATTTTGAGTTCAAGGTCAGTCTGGGATATATTATGCTACTAAGATTTTAAGGGCTGTTTGTTTTAGAGCATTTGCTCAGCTACTCTGATTTACACTTTTAATGGAAGGATCTGCTACTGCTTAGGATTTATTTGACACGTTGGGATCTGAAGCTTGATCTTTAAAACTTTGCATTCATCAAAGTTAGGGAAATAGAAACTCACTGAGAAATGAAGTTATGTTATGTGTCCTTATTGTGTCTTGCTTTTTTAACCTTCCATGTGTATACTGAATTTGAACTTTCATTAATGTCCCGATAAACTGCTATGTATACCACTGTAACAATATTTGTCAACAATTCCATTTTGTACCATTGCCTATCTCCTAATGGTAGCGGCTATTCTCTATAGGAGATATTCAAATTTTGAAATTATATTTTCTCTTCTTATTTCATAAAAGTTAGTGAAACAGAAAAAGTGCCATAACTAGTTACAATAAGGGTAAGTCCAAAATCAAAGCATTTAAAACAAAGGTAGAAATTGTGAGTGCACTCAACAAAGTAGCAAGTCAGAAACCTCAATCACATTTTTGTTGAATTTAAGCTGATTGACTTCCTTCCTTCCTTCCTTCCTTCCTTCCTTCCTTCCTTCCTCTTCCTTCCTTCCTTCCTTCCTTCCTTCCTCTCTCTCTCTCTCTCCCCCCCCTCTGGTGGGACTAGGGTTTTTTTTTTTTTATTGTCGTGCTGGGTGTGAGTACATTGTAGCATATATAAATGTTCTTACAATGTATAAAATGTATCATACTTGAATTTCCCCTCTACTTCTCTCCCCCATTCCCCCTCCCGATTCCTGGAACAGTTCAACAGGTATCATTTTTGCATTTACATACATGTGTACACATT